CGGAGGTCCCACTGGTATTTGTGAAACACTCGACCGGCAGCGCTTAAAGTCAACGTCCTCGCTCCCACCCACCCAAAGCCACGAAGTCCCCCAATTGCGCAGCCCAGAATCGCCCTCCCCTCAGGGGGCAGCAAAGATGCCCGGCGTTTCCCAAGACAAGAAGCTCCGCCATGCAATGAAAGCACCCTCGCTCTAGGCTCGCGGGCTCAGAAAACAACGCGAGCCAAGGTGGCTTCGGCTCCGCTCGGCTTCGTTTCCTCAGCCCCAGCTGCTTTCAGGCCGCTCTGGAGGGGAGGAGGTGGTGGCGGCGGCTCGCGTTTTCTGAGCCCTAGAGCCTAAAGCTCAGAAAACAACGCGAGCCGCCGCCACCAGGAAATGAATCCAAGCGGAGCCGAAGCCACCTCGGCTCGCATTGTTTTCTGAGCCCACGAGCCTAGAGCCAGGGCGCTTTCATTGCACGGCGGAGCTTCTTGTCTCGGGAAACACCGGGCATCGTTGCTGTCCCCTGAGGGGAGGGCGATTCTGGGCTGCACGATTGGGGGACTTCGTGGCTTTGGGTGGGTGGGTGGGAGCGAGGACGGACGGAGTCCGCGAAGTGGGGCTTGTCTGCCCTTGCTGGTTGCCTTTGCTTTCTTAGGGGCGGGGAAGGGGGCTCATCTGGACCAAAGGTGAGTCTCCCCCTTCCCCTGAAGGATCTTCTGTCGCTTTTACCTTCTCCCTACATCTTCCCTCTGTTAAAAGCCCCCCCACACACACACTTATTTTCGGGCGGATAGATTTCGTGTCTGAGCATTCTCACATGACGGTGGGTATTTTTTCCCCCCTAAAAACAGTTAAAAAAAAGAAAAAACAATATATCCTCATGCAAGAACTTTTCTGCTTCCGATTACCCCCAAGCTTACAAGTTGCAAAGGAAGCAGGGAAGCGGCTGCCCAGCTCCGGAGCTCCACACCATTTTTTTTTCCAGAGGGGAATCTCACTCGAGTATAAGCCGAGGGGTTTTTTTTCAGCACAAAAAATGTGCTGAAAAACTCGGCTTATACTCGAGTATATACGGTATCTTATAATCATAGTTTCTTACTTTTAAAAATGTGTATATTTATAATTTTGGATTGGCAATAAAATATAAAATACACTATTTCCCCTCAATTCTTTTTATTTTAAAGTTGGAAAGTCAAAGCCTGCTTAATTATTACTTTTCACAAGCTGGAAAATAATGGTTCTTTTATCATCTAAAAGTTTTTTTCCTTTGGAATAATGTTAGTGACAGTATTTTTGTTATTAAACTTTTCGGTCTTACCAAATATTAGTCTCCTCTTGGAAACGTAAAATGGAAACAAGTACCCTCCCAGGATAAAAGAATTAATAACTGTACTTATTGCAGAAAAGCTAAGAATTCCACTGACCGTTGTGTGTAAATGCAAGTCCTGTTTACAGTGAAATTCAATGTTCTTGTTTCTGTTTCTCTTGTCCACACTACAATGTGTAACAGTTTAAAAACCAGGATAGGGGTGCAGGAGAGATGGCTTTCACTTGGCTCTTATTTGCCCTTATTTTGATAGTGGAGTAATCTGGTATTAGGCTCTTTACTTATGACATCTGAGAAATGTTTCTTAAAATATACATTGAGTAAAAAGAACAGAAACAACTTTTTTTATTAGTTCAGACTCCCATGAGGCAATAACTGTATTTGAAATTTTTGGTATATCTTGGATGCTCCCAAATACCTACTCTGATGTGTTCTGCATAAAAAATGTTCCCCAAAGCAATTTTCCAGCTTATAGATTGGCAAGATTTAAAGAAAAATAAATTGTCTAAGAAGTGTTTAATGTGAAGCAGAAAAGGCTATGAGTTCCAAAATAGAAAATGCTATGGATCCTATAGTATTCTATTTCTTTTGCCCTTTTGCATAAGTTATATTTTGTTTAGATACTGGATAATAGCAGAAATGGGACCTCGGATATATAATCATTTTAATCTACAATATATTAGTTTAGTCTAACTTTTTATTTGTATACAGTTTTTCAATAATACTAGCATTATTTCACATGTAATTTGAAGCTTTAAGTAGTTCATTCCACAGGAAAAACCACTGGTTTTATATTCTTTTCCATGGCTTGCTATTAATACACTAATTTTGTGGGATTTACTTTTATTCCTCTTCTTTTTCCCATATCAGAAGTAGGGACCTCCTCTTTGGTCTTCTGTGGTCAAATTAAAACAAATGGTAGCTTTTGCTAGAAAAAAATGACATGGATTTATTTGGAAACAGGAATCAATTTTTAAGCATTATGTAAGATCAATATTTAATATAAAGAATAAAAAACATTGTATTCATATTTACGGGTTACAATAATATCTCTACTGTTAGGCTATTTAATGGTGTGAGAGACCAGACTCACGCTGTTGGGTGGAAAAGAAAAGGCAAGTGCTTAGAATAATAGTCGATTTTGAAGCCAGGATATAAACATTAAACAGACATTACAAAGTTTTTGGGAAATCTTGGTTTAAAAATAGTATGATTTCTGCAGAATTGTGTTTCCTCCAGCCCAGTAAATCAGTATTTTACCCAATTGACTTAGAGTTCTGGAACATTTGAGTTAGATTAACATCCATACGTGATATTCTTCCAACTAAAATCAGAATTCCGATTTTTTTCATCAGCGGACGGCTCCTTTTGCATCTGGCTTCTTTGCTCACTGTCCCACAAAACGGCCCGGACTGCAGGAGCTACACGCTTCCCCTTTTCCTTTCTTGCAGCTTGAACCACCTGGAGGAAAGGCGCTAAGACGCCTCAGGCGCTGCCTGAGAGGGAGCCTCTACGCGCTGGCTGTGACAGGGCTCGAGCGAGCTTCTCTCCCACTCTTTGCGGCGGCTCCGAAGGCTTTGCGCCCCTCCCCGTGTGTCCTCCTGACCTGCTTGTGACTCGTTAGAGCACGAGTGGGGTTGCGTGCTTGTGTGTGTGTGTGTGTGGTGCGTGCTGGGTGCGGAGACTCTGGCAAAGGACGATGTGTCTTTCCATTCGTCGGGGCCAACTGCAACAGGCGGAGAAGCCACTCTTCCCCCTTTGTCGCCGAAAGCAACAGAGGCGCCAAGACTCGCTTCCCGTTCCCGCCAATATTGCCCCACTTTCCCTCTTCTCTTCCCACGCACGCAGCCAGCTTCAGGTGATTTCCTCCACTCCCTGGCCCGAAGGAAGCATCTTTGGAGGCAGCGCGGGAATGAAAATGCTGGGCTGAGTGGAAGAAGAAAAGCTTATACTTTCCCAGGAGTTACAGAGAGCAGAGACAAAGGCTCGAGAGGAAAAGAGCTTCGTTCAGCTATTGTTAGCCAACCCTCCATTGTCCTGAGGGAGGTGGATGGTGACGAACTACATGGATTACTAAGCAACTGAAAGAAATGCTGCTTCGCTCAAGTGACAGATTTCTTAAGGCAGAGGGAAAGCGGTTTCTCTTTAGGAAGTTGGATTTCACTGCTCTTTATGTAGCTGTGTGGGATACCTGTAGCGAAGATTTGGCCAACAAGACTTAACGTTGATATTACTTCCTCTTCTGTGACTTTAAAGGTCAAATAATAGTTGCAGTCCCCAACCCACCATCATAAAAGATAAGGCATATTGCACTGCCTGAGCTTCCCACTTTAACGTGTGGCATCTAAGTTTGTGGCACCTTAAAAAAACCAGCAAAACGTTATGTCACCTTTCATAGAAGAATGCTTCATTAAAATGATGGTTGCAACTACTCCACATTTCTGCAACATGGTCCCCTCCAGCTGTTTTGGATTTAAAAGCAAAGAGGGCCAATCTGGAACTGAAGAGGAAGACAACTGTAGCCAAAAGACAGGCCAGACTCAAAGTTATGCTATCAGCTCAACTAGCTAGAAAGAAGCATAGAGAAGCAATGCTGATCAAAGGAAAGGGAACAAAGAGAAAGTCCAATTAGAGGTGAAGCATTGTGGCTGTTTTTCTGTCTGTTAAGCAGGGTGTTTGTTGTTTTTCTTTGTTTGTTTTATTTTTTAAATGTGAAATCCTTTGCCCGAGAGCATTCTCATGGTGCTTTTTATTATTATTTTTTGTCAAACAATAAAACTGTCATGCAGACTCACCTTGAAAAATCACTTTTGATTACTCTGCTAAAGCTTCAAGGGGGCGTTGTCAATTTAATTCCCACCAGAATGAAATTCACAAAGTGGTGGTTTTTTTCCTCCAAATTTGGGTTGTGAGATTTGAAATCAAGTATTTTTCTCCATTTTTATTTGTGGGAGTCCTCATAATTTTATCATGAAAATGTGCGAATGCCAAAAGCTTTTCTTTTAAAAATTGAACAGTATTTGTGTCTATACTAGAAGCTTCTCCATTCTGGCAGCTCTTTGAATACTATATTTGCATTTCCTCGAAACACCATAATCAGGTTGAAGATAGTATCACTATTTGGAACAATAAAGAAAAATTAACTCAGTGACTGCAATAGTTGCAGAGTCAATAAATCTTGATTAAGATACATTTATAGAAACTCTACATTGGGGTGGCATGGTTTCTAAAAACCTCATTATTTCTATATCCATATGCCTGTGGAAATGTAGAGAACATAGCAGGTATAAATACCTGGTTAAGCAGGGGATGTTGACTTTTAGGCAGTCCCCAGATGAGGAACTTCCGAATTAGACATGAACAGACTGCCTATTACTAAAAATTTCAGCTTGTGTTCTTCTTAAACTGACAAAGCACTGAAGATGTACAAGAACCACTGAAGCCATGAGTTTCTACACACAGCCTGTTTTCAACAGTTCCTAAAAACATTGTGTCTTCAGTGCTTAATCAGCTTGAGGAGGTCAATGTGATCTACCTTTTTTATTAATAGGCAGTGTTTGTAAGTACAAGTTCCAACTTAAATAACCAATTTGGGTTAAAAACAGGAAACAACTCTTGACCTGAGAACTGTCTTTTTCCTTGATATTTTAAGAGATTCAGAATTTAAATGTTTTAATACTTTGACTTGCAGTGCGAGGATGTCGCCCTGGAAAGATCGTGCAGATGACAGAAGCTGAAGTTCGCGGTTTGTGTATAAAATCACGAGAAATTTTTCTTAGCCAGCCCATTCTCTTGGAGCTAGAGGCACCACTGAAGATCTGTGGTATGTGCTGATTTCTTTCATTTAAAAAAACCTTTAAATTGGATGACAAAATTTATCAATGTTGATGATGGATTTAAATTATATAAAGAATAAACACAACAAAACATTTCAATCTGAAAGGATGATTGGCTAGGTATTCACTTAGTTTTAAAATTAAATACAATCATTGGAATCTGAATTAAAAGGTAAATTAACTAAAATGTATAGCATTCTGTGCAGTTATTTTGCAGCTATGTGTTTGGGATCTTCTGAATACCCTCCTCTAAAGAAGCTCTTTGTCTTTTGATCAAAATATCAAGAATGGCAGACAATTTTGAGACTTGGAAGGTATGACAGAATGTCACTATAATAGCTCTCACAATAAACTTCATTTTCCTAAATTAATACATAGTACAGAGAAATCTGTTACTTGCATTCATCCTTGTAAGTGGTCGGAATGATTGTGGTGTAGAGTGACATAGTACAAATAAAAATAGAAAGTAGAAATATTTAATCCTAAATTGCATTTAAAATATATTGGGTTTGCTGGGCTTGTTTTTTGTTAGGTGTAACTAAATGCTAATACCATAAAAATATATTTACTATTTTGGTTGCGTTATAGAATGTTAATTTTAAAACTTCTGTTATTTATTTACTATAAAAAAAAAACCAAAAGTTTAGAAAACAAAACTCAGGGAAAAAGAGGTCCCGTAAATTTAATCAGAACTTTAAATCTCCATTCCTTAAAAAAACCTCCTTATGATGAAAGTTAGACCCCGGGACTTTCAATAAATCTTTTAAAAAGTTTATTAAGGGTTTTTAAAAATAAATTTACAGTGCCAAGAGGATATGACCCAAATCAGCTGGTGAGCTGTAATGGTAAAGGTTCATGTTTCAGAACTTGACTCACAAAGAAGCTGGAAAAGGGGGGCAAATCTTATCACCGTTTTTCCTACCCTCACGCCTTTTGGAATCTTTATCTCCATTCTGGGATAATTAGCAAATGGAAATCAATATTTGTATTTGAAAGGAAGAAATTACAAGAAAGTAAGCATGCACACAATGGGGAATAAATATTGAAAGGAATGCCTTGATACCTTGCTTGTGGCTGCTTAGATATAAAAGAAAGCTTTGGGGTGAAATTGATTAAGACCTGAGTTCTAATCAGGGCTGCAAAGCTGCGCTAACTTTCTGTTAGCACCTTTCAGGGAAGTGTGCAGCCTGTATGGCAAAGAAAAGCAGTTTAGAAAGCAAGAGTTTATCCAAACAATCTCTGTCCCCTGCAAGAGAGGAAATTTTGGGAATGGGGAAAAGGGAGGAAAAAAACCAGTTCAGGCAATTAGGCAAAGGATAGCCACCTTGAATTACTTATAAAGTAGTAAAGGCAGGATCAAAAGTCTAACAAGTAAATAACCACCACAAGTCCACTCTGACTCAAAGGCACAAATAAAAAGGGAAGCATGAAGTTTATTTTGTTTGTAGAATGAAGTTGTAATGCCATTATAATGGCGTCATAATTATTGCTGCTGGGGAAGATTGAAGAATTGATCTAATTTAGATGAAATCCTACTGTCCTTAGTATTTATGGCCATCTGCTGGCCTCCCCTATTTTTTTCATCCTCTTATGAGAAACAAAATGAGAAGAAATTGCTTTACTTTCCAAGTAACTATGTCCAAACTAAATTATGATTAATTTTAAATGGGTTATCTTAACCATCCAGGATGTGAACCATAGTGTGAAGCTGATATGCTTCAACACACCATACATAGTTCAACATACAATATATTGTCCGAGTTTTTTTCTAGTAAATTGAGTTGATTAAAAAATACATATATACACTAATAAAAATATTAGCATGAGTAGCTGTATACAAGAGTATAAAATACTGAAGTTAGTATGATGTAATTATGAACAATTGTAACATGTCAAATGCTAAGTGAAACCTGAAAATACCTTAGCAAAAGGACTGCTTATAATTGTTATCTGAAGAATGTGATATGAATGTGAGAAATACATCAAATTCAAAATCAATTATGGTTTGCTTATGTTCATAAATAGATTCTATTTACAATTTACATGTGTGATAATATCACAGTTTTGATTATGTAGATTTGATTACGTGCTGGTATTGCTAAGGGAAAATTGACACATATCTTATGTATACGGTTGATGTTAACTGATTAGCAATTATACACAACTGAATACTCTTATGAAAGCTTCTGTAAAAGGGGAAAGGAAGATGTTCTATTTTAATAATTTAGTAAACTTGTGTGGTGCCCAACTAAAGACTGAGAGGCTCACAACAATCAAATTATAATAAAACCAATGAGACATCAAATAATGATAAAAGATGGCAAGTTCAGTGAAGCAAGGGGTCTCTCTTTCCCTCGCCGAAGGGCTTGGTAAAAAGCCAGGTCTTTACAGCTGTTCTAAACAGCAACAAAGTGGGGCTATTCAGGTCTTAAGGGAGCATCATTCTATATCCAGTCTAGTGAGCAAAACAATTTAGAAATTATTTGCAAGATAAAAATTCAGATAAGCAGAGTCTTGAATTGCCCTTGGAGCTTGTTAGGAATGTAAGTCACCTAACAGCTATTTGGGTTGGAAATATATAAACCAGGATAGACATTTTAAAACTGTATCTTTAAGAAAATGCAAAAAACTGTAATTGGGTGTGGTTTCTCAAAGGGCCATAAGGTGGAGCCAGAAACCTGGGTTGTTTAGTCTTAGTCGAGAGTGTGAATGAGTTTCCTTCTTTTGGAGAGTTTTGCTGTTCCTGTATTGACTATTATTCTTGAATTTGATGTAAGTCTGATACTGAACTGTTTTTGACACTGGACTTCATTATTAGATTATCCCTGGACTGAAAACTGACTGATCTAACCTGTGAATGACTTTGGACTGTGTTTGAACTTTGCTTAAACCTTTCTGGAAGTAAAAACCTACATTTACTGTACAGTGTTTCTGTGTGCTGTGTGTGTATTATTCAAACACTACTCTCAATACGTCTCCCTGTATGTGCTCATTCTGCTAATGGGGAATTACCTCAACAGAGCTTATATTAATTATTGGAGAACTTGCGAAGCAAGATTCTGGTTTTTTTTATTTCCAGTTGTTTAGATAATTATAACCTGTACAGCCTCAAGATACTTGTAATACAACTTTTCTTAATTATTTTAGGTGACATTCATGGCCAGTATACAGATTTACTTCGATTATTTGAATATGGAGGATTTCCACCAGAAGCCAACTATCTTTTTCTGGGAGATTATGTGGACAGAGGCAAACAATCCTTGGAAACTATCTGCTTGTTACTTGCGTATAAAATAAAATATCCTGAGAATTTTTTTCTCTTGAGAGGAAATCATGAGTGTGCTAGTATAAATCGCATCTACGGATTCTATGATGAATGTAAGTAAAACTTTCTGTAAATGTTTCTCTTCTTTGAAATAACTGCAATATTTTGAAATGCTTGATGCATTTACTTCAAGTTTGTGACGCATCCTCCTGGAACAACACATTAGTGAAATAGTTGAGCAATTCATGTGATATAACTCTGAATGATCATGCTACAGTGTAAATATTCTTCCAATTTTATTAGGTAAACGAAGATTTAATATCAAACTCTGGAAGACATTTACAGACTGCTTTAATTGTTTGCCTATTGCAGCGATAGTAGATGAAAAGATTTTCTGCTGCCACGGAGGTAAGGAAAAATCCACTTTTATATTGATGAAATCATTTTGTTGTTGAAAGTTTAATAAAAATATACAGAAATGTTTGATTTCTTCTTAAACAAAATGTGAATTATATGATCCTCCTATCCCTTAAAATACCAATATTTTCCAAGAACTTGCCCAAGAAAATGTGATAAATCAGAAATTCAACTACCTCCACAGGGAACATAAAGCTTGCAAACAGTTTAATTCATTTTCTCAGTCGTGAAGAAAGGTAGAGGTTATAAATTTGAAAAACCAGTAAGATATGTTGAACTATAAGCTCTTAATATTTGCTGTATCATTTACTATTTGTTCTTTCATTGTCCTTTAAGCCAGGGGTCGCCAACCTTTTGGACCTCAGGGACCACCAAACTCATAATTTTAAATCCCGCGGACCAGAGACCCTGGGAAAATCCCCCAAAAAATCTGCAGGAAAATTCCCCATTCCGTATTCCTACCAATCAATCATTCTTTATTTGGGATCCCAGGATATTGTCTCCGTTCTCAGGGGGGGAGAGAGAGAGAGAGAGAGACTTTTGGCTTCATACAAGGAAAGCAACAGAAGTCTTTCTTTCTCTCCCTCAAATTCCGCCAGAAATGAGTCTTTGCCAGCGCAGCCTCTTGGAGCAGGATGCCTTGCAGGGTCCCAAAGACTCATTTCTGGTGGAGTTTGGGGGAGAGAAAGAAAGACTTTTGCTGCTTTCCTTGTGTGCAGCCAAAAGCAGAAGTGGAAAGAAGCAGCCCGGTGGCCAGGCATGGCAAGTTCCCCCCTCCACCCTTTCCCCCCTCCCCTCACCACCTCTTGTTGTTTGCAATGCAAGTGACGCAGCCTTGTGTTCCCATGCAGCCTGGATTAATTGCTTTGGGGGTGACAGTTCTCTATGGACCACCAAAATTTTCTTGCGGCCCACCAGTGGTTGGCGACCACTGCTTTAAGCCACTTTGTAAATATTGCAGCTAGGATTTGTGAGGCAAAAGGATATGCATGTTCGCTTTGTTTCAGAGACCACCAAAGTGTATGTCAGTTGAGATGAGCTAAAAATCCTAGGACAATGTAACTTTTGCTGTGACCTGAAATTTAAATTATCTAATCCCATCTCAATAACTATAGTATTTTGATGATATTGCCAGTTTTATTGAATTCTTCTATAATTCAAGAAGGAGGAGCATTTGGTAGGCTAGATCAAGTCTTGTATGCTGAGATAACATATTTGTTCAACTTTATGACTTCTTGAAGAATACAGATAGTGTCCCTAAAAGCTTTCTGGAAGGGGAGGTAGACTTCAGCAGGAGATTATGAATCTCTAGAAAGAACCAACCACATTTCTCATGGGACAGTAAACATGTTTCTTTGTGTTTACCATCCCACAGTAGAAGTCTGAATTTAAAAAGCCACTTAGCTCAGAGGGAAATGAATATGAAGAAATAGATTATAACCTAATTTTTGAAATTAAAACAAGCATGTTCCAAATAGGCTTATCCTTAAAATAGCTTGATCAGAATTCCAGTTTCTGATATATAAGTTGCTTGATGTGAATTTGTCTCCGGGTAGGTGCCCAGCAAATGAGCTTTAACTACTACATTTCTTAACACTGACCTTAACTGGGTAGGAAATTGTAGATGAAGTTCATATGCGTGAACATGCAACTAATATACTGTATAATAACAATTTCATTAAAGATGAAAATCTTTTAAAAATCACCAAGTATTGATACAATTGGATATTTTACACAATATAAACTGGTTAAAAGAATAAAATAATAGATTTTCAAAGATCTTATGTACACTTTTTAAAAAAACAATCTCTGGGATTAAAATGACCATTAAACACTGTTACAAGGAATACATTTGTTTAATACATTTTTTGTTAAAGATAGTTTGTTGGAGAAAAATCAGGTTCCATGCATACTTGGGGGAGAGGGATTCCTAATGTCTTGCACTTAGTTCAACTTAAAGATCCCAGTGAACTGTCATCCTGCAAGACTAACTGGATATCTGTGGACTGTTCTTTCAAAGGATATGTTGATATACCAAATGGAGGTTTATTGGACCATCTACCAAAATGAGGCTAAACACAGCCTATGAAATTCTATTCAGCTTCTGGTGACAAACAATAGCCAGTAGATATTTGAAATAGCTGTTTTGTTTCTATGTCTACCCATAGGACGCTCATACACTAACAACAAAAGAATGGAAAAGTGATCATGATGATGCCATCCCAGTTTTATGAAGTGTTAATGAGATAATTTAGATCAGGGGTCCCCAACCACTGGGCTGCGGACCGGTACCGGTCCGTGGATCATTTGGTTCCAGTCCGCAAAGAAAATAAAAATAAAATAAAAATGGCGGCTTTCTTCGCCTTCGGTAAATGCTGCTGGGATCAGGGATCAAGGACACAAATGAAAGAAGGAGAGGGAGGAAGCAACCAAAGCCTGTCCTGCTCTCCAGCTCAGCGGCTTCGGTTTCCTCCCGCCTCGTTCCTCTCTCAGTCGCTCTCTCGCTCCTCCACCAGCCCAGGAAGAAACTACTTCAAAGAAGCCGGCAGGGTGGCTTTTCCTGTCGGCACAGCTCCTCTGAAGCGCCCGTTCACCCCCACCCCGCCGCCCGCGGTTCAATCCAGTGCTCCGTTCTGCCTGCCTGCCTTCGTTTCTGGTTGTTTCGGAGTAGCTTTGGCTGAGAATAATAACTATTCGCCTCTTTTACTCAGCCGAAGCTGCTCCGAAACAACCAGAAACGAAGGCAGGCAGAACGGAGCACTGGATTGAACCGCGGGCAGCGGGGTGGGGGTGAACGAGTGCTTCGGAGGAGCTGCGCCGACAGGAAAAGCCACCCTGCCGGCTTCTTTGAAGCAGTTTCTTCCTGGGCTGGTGGAGGAGCGAGAGAGCGACAGAAAGGAATGAGGCAGACACCTGAGGGATAAGGCTGAGGGAGGGAGGGCTGAGAGGCGGGGCTTCTCAGCTATCCTGCAGGGACTTGTCCTGAGCCTCCCTGAACTTGGTGGTTTGCTGGCAGACGTTTTATTACCCGACTAGGTAACAACATCAGATGTTATCTAGTCAGGTAATGAAGCGTCTGCAAGCAAACCACCAAACTCGGACTCCTCCCCCTCGGACCCCCCCCCCCCCACGCGCGCCGGTCCTTGAAAAAGTGTTTCTGCGTGAAACTGGTCCCTGGTACAAAAAAGGTTGGGGACCACTGATTTAGATAACTGGTCCTGGGTTAAGTGGTACAGCAGTAGGCATTTTGTTTAGTATTTGTTTTACTGGCCCTCACTTTCCTATCTGAAGAAAAAAAGTTTGCACATGTACTCAGGAAGATAAAAACTTACCTTTAAGATACCATACAGTTGTTTTGTTTTATATTAAAGAGCTGAATTTGGAATAAATATGTAGAAGACAATATTTGTTGGTAAAATGAAGATCTCACATTAGTCTCTAGACTGAACTATTTTCTCAGTTCATTATCAGTGGATTCTGCCTTGTTTAGTGCATGTATTTATGTAGGCACAGAATTGTATGCAGTGGTCTTATTTCATGAGTAGAATGCAGACCGATCAAATTCTTCATGTTGTACATCCTCCCTATCCTTCAGACCTATGCTGTATAATTAAATTATCTAGAACTAGGTCCATGCATATTTGCTTTGTACTTAAGGAAGTCTATTAGCATAACATTAGATTTAGCTTTCTGTACAAAACGTTCTACTGACTTTTAATATGGCTTACTTATAGTTGGTTATTTTGCTTCTTTTCACTCATTTGTGAAACAGACCAATTACTGTATTTCAAGTCTTGTTAATTTGTCATAAGAGTCTAGTAGCTTCATTAAAGTATTATACATCTTGGTGCCGCTTTTATAAATCTTAGAGTTTGAATTTACAGGCTTGATTTTTAAAAACGTAATCCTTTTAAAGCTTTTTCAGTAACAACACTCATTGAGTTTGATTTGGGTGTAGTTTGTTATTTCCTTGTGCAAATTCTTCCTATATCATAGTATGTCCAATGAATATTTTATCTGCTAATTTCCTATTCTAGTAAATTTTGTTGTTTTATAAATCTAGGTATGTAGTGTGTTACTTGGACTATGCTAGGTATTTTAAAAAGAGTTAGGATTTGCCATTTGACAATTGGGAAGCAGTGTTTTGTATCCCCTAAGTACTATTCAGGGTGATTTAGAAATACGATGGTTTTTAAAAGTAGAAGTCATAAGATCCATTACTGCATTTCCCTCCATAAGTATATTTGTAGGGATGCTAGATTCCTGTAGTGTTTTAACTTTTTTATTGACTCTTGTTCTTAACCACTTTGATTATAGGAAATTGTATGTTTTAGGGTGATTTGTGCATTTTCTGGATAATAAAAATGTTTTATTCATTTGTATTGTGCCTTTATTATTTTCACAAATAATTCAAGGTGGCAAACATACCTTTGTCCTCCTATTTTCCTCACAAACAAAAAACCCTGTGAGGTGATTTGGACTGAGAGAGCAGCTGGCCCAAGGTCATTCACCTGGCTTTCATGGCTTAGGTGGAACTAGAACTCACAGTCTCCTGGTTTCTATCCTAGTACCTTTAGGGGATTTTTTTTTTTAAGTTTTAGGATTGCTGACATTTTTCTAGAGAAATATAATTCCAAACAAGCAGATTCATTTGAATTGTTTATGGTGGAAACTGCCTAAAATCTAAGTTCATTCAGAATAAATTCTTAGGTTTTCTGCGCTCAGCATTTTTCCCATCTTGAAAATAGTCACTATGTAGAGATGACTGTACAGTTTTTTTTAAGTGTAGCATATTTTCAGTGTGTTGCAGGTACACAGATCACATGTTTCAAGACATTTTCAAGACATACCAAAGTATCAGAAAAACTTGAAACAAAACAAAATATGTATAGTCTAACCCTACGCTTGCTGACTATTTGTACTCCCTCCCTTGAATTACTTGTTTTTCTATGCTGTTTTAAAATGATGCTGTTGCAGCTACATACCAGAACTAAAACCATCAGAGGCAACCTTTTACTTACTAGCGAAGTTTGACTGGTAGCAATAACTTGTGTCTAGTCACAGCAGTCCCTTGCAGCAGTACAAGTCCTTTCTGAGATTCAGAATGCCACCTGCAGCTTAATTCTGCTTCTCTCAAGATCACCTCACATAACGTAAGCAGATAGTAGCAGAAAATAATCTTGCTGTTCTACTGTGGCACAGAAAGAAAATTTAAGATAGCATTCTGGTCCCATTGCACAGAGCACTTAACCATACAGTTCAAAAAGGCTGGGGTTGTTAAAAAGTGCTTACCAAAAACAGAGTTCTTGAAATGCCTGCTCTTTGGTTTTGAACATGGAATACTTATATGTTCTGAGTTTTAAAATGTTGAATGGTTTTATATATGCTTATAAAAAAATAATCAAATTCCTACTGTTATGCCGGATCATTGAACTACAACTGTTCTCTGTCAAGAATTTTGTCTATTTATCTGTAAAGTATTGGAAATGGGCCAGTTAAGAATACTTTTCCTGTTATTCAGACACTTAAAAAATGGTGGTAGTGTTCTATTTAAAAGTATAACATCACCATTAGTAACACTAGTTACGAAAGTATTACAAAAATCCTATAAGACTGATTAGCTGATTGTCTTTAACTGAAAAGTATAGGGAATAAATGCCGTTCATCATTTTTTACAGTAAACTTAAAATCTCTTGTTGTTATAGGATTGTCACCAGATCTGCAGTCAATGGAACAGATCCGAAGAATTATGAGACCCACAGATGTTCCTGACACAGGTGAAACCTTTTTAAGGATTAGGAATATGCTTCTGCAATTGGCGTTTTAGTAGCATATTCTCAAAGTACTTAATAGTCTGATCCTGAAACTATAATGTTTAGAAATTAATGTACACCACCTAGAGTCTCAAGGGAGGGAGACTAAAAAATGTCATTAAAGTTAAAACTTTTAACTTCTATAAAGCTAATTATAGAAAATGCACTGTAGACATTTTCTAGTAATTAAATGCTGTGGCTTGACAATGGGAATTTTGTCCTGCTGGGTTTAGTGAGTACTAATGATGACTTAGTCCCACTCTCTGTATTAAATTGCTTTTTAGAATTTAAAGAAATTTGGGGTAGGCTATTTGCATATGAAATCTAGTCAAACCTTATCATTTATCAATTTTGGCTCTGAGGGTTGTTTGTGTCTTAACTAGCTTATTAAATTGTATTACTTTTTAGAATTTGAAACCAGTGAATTATAAACTAGTGCTTAGCGATTGTAGCTTTGGAAAAGAAATTAAAAATACATCTCTATGCTACATATATAAAAATAAATTTAAATACAATAACAACAGCAATAATCAAAAATTGCATGACACTTAGAATATTAAAAAAAAATCCATCTGTCAATTACAAAGGCAATGTTGCTTGGATCCACACATACATGCCAATACATTAGAACATCATAGGTTCTTGGGAAGAACTCAGTGCAAATGAAAGCCGACACCAACTAAAGAAATGGTAACTGTGAGTTCATTGTTGCATATGTAATGTTGTTTATAAGTCTTAATGAATGTATACTTTCCTCCTTTTTAAGGCTTGCTCTGTGATCTGTTGTGGTCCGATCCTGACAAGGATGTGCAAGGCTGGGGTGAAAATGACCGTGGAGTTTCCTTTACTTTTGGAGCTGATGTGGTCAGCAAATTCTTGAACAGACATGATTTGGATTTGATTTGTCGAGCTCATCAGGTATGAGAACATTACTGCTAATATATATATATTATTTTTTATTCTCAGAGTTTTGTTTTGATTTTTTGCATTCAGGTGGCATGTAGATGAGCCAGTGTAAATTGGATTGCAGATGACTATCACTTCTGTTAATACAAATACCCTGTTGGCACTCAAATTGTTCCTGTGAAATAACTATACAGGACCATAGTTATTGTCACACTATATGCTCATGTATGCATTCATTTTAAAATGTAGACTTTTTGTATAGGCGGTCTTGCTTGCTAATACATACATACATACATACAAGCAACATTGACTTTGTAATACCTACATTTTCTTTTAGTCTTTTCATTGTTTTACTATCTAAATTATAAAACTCAAAATCCTGATTTTTTTAATGTTTTCAGGTATTTTTAGACAAATATTTACTGCTTAACAAGCAATTTAAAATTAGAAATATATTTATAATTATATTGATCATGGCTCTCTGTTCTCACTGACAGGTGGTTGAAGATGGCTATGAATTCTTTGCTAAACGACAGCTGGTTACTCTATTTTCTGCTCCTAATTACTGTGGAGAGTTTGACAATGCTGGTGGCATGATGAGTGTGGATGAAACTTTAATGTGCTCTTTTCAGGTAGGTGTTTTTGTCTTAAGAGATTAGCCATAAGACATAATTTTACAAGCATTAGTATGTGCCTAAAACTAAAATAGTAAAAATTAATTGGAATCACTTAATATTTAATTGAATGTTGATTGAAGATTAGGATTATGGATTGTAAAGGCTAACCTCTCTGTTGGAAGTACTAATTATTATGTCAATTATATCAAACCAAAATAAAAGTGCCTGAAGATGTGAATCCAAGTTTGAGCTGTCAGTGGAATCTTTTGATAATGTGAGTAAAATAATACCCCAATTAGTTCAAAGCACAAGTGGGATTTGGTGTTATGTTCAGAGATTGTTATTTATAAAACTCTGAGCTCCCATCTCTTTCTGATACCACATCGATCAGTAAATGCACTTATTTTTTAAATTTCACTTTAGCAATAACATGGGCGGTTATAGAAATTGAATGAATAAATGGGTATTTGTAAACCTAGCTATTACAAAATATTTTTACACACATCTACAGTTTCGTTGTACGCAGCTCATGTATAAGAGATAAAAAGTAGACTACCTCCATGCTAGTCATAGTATATTGGAACATGGATCAAATCAGCCTGATTTGTTCTAAGCTCCAGATAAATTTCCAAAATGCTTGATGTTTTTTCTACAGTCAAAAACTTTGTTCTGTTTTGTTTGGCAAATTGAAAATATTCTTAAATAATAGTTTGCGGATAATGACAGCTCCAAAGTCCTTTTAAGCAAAACTGAATTCTTGTTTGGTATTTCCTTAATTGTATATCTAATGAAAAAGGAAATAACATGTAATAAGTTTTGTAACATCTCAGACCTTGTGAATGTATCAGTCCAGCTCCTTGTTTCTCAAATTTTCTTCACTGAGGGAATCAGTCTGCAGTTAGTCCTCACTTAACAACCATTGATTCTATGATGGCCTGGGGTATGGCACAAAGGCAACACAGTCAAATAAGCAAGAAGTGTTTCTTTAGTACCTCCAACTTTACCCCAAATGTCCAGGTTACCTTCAGCTGGAGAAAAAACTCCCAAGAACAGTCTTTAAGTGGAGGAAATTCAGTTTGAAAACAAAGTACATACAAACTAAATAAAAATCCATACAAACCACGCTGCAGTAATTAACTTGATAGGGCAGGAGAAGGAATTGCAGACTTGAAAGCCCAGCAAAACACACACAGTTGGGAAGATGTCAGGAACCCAGATAAGACAATACCAGATAATTCATGATTTGCTCCCAACAACTTGCTATGTGCAGCTTCCCTTTTTAAACACTGTGTTCTCAGCTGCAGCTAATGAAAGGGAACCAAGGGCCCTTTCCTCCCACATAAGCCATGCAACTCAGGTTGCTCCCGTCTCCGTTCCTCCCTGCGTGCCTTAGGATGAAGACATGGTGAGCCTGGGTCTTCCTCCAAATTCCCTCTCCCTTGCTCTACCTCTGCCCTGCCCTGCCCAGCCGACTTTTGCCCTTCCCCAGTTTCTTCCTCAGCCAACAGAACCACACTCCCACTCCCTGTCAGCTATTTGGCCTTCCTCTCTGAATCAGATTCCGACAGGGGCATTCTGACACATTTAGTGGCTGTTTAAAATTACAGTGGTGCTGAATGATTGCTTACAACTGGCCCTGGAAGTTTTTTATTTATGAAATTTAGACACTGCAAAACTCAATATCAAAGGGATTCTGGGCAATTTACAGATTTTAAGAAAAAAAGGCTGCTACAGTACTCCCTTGGTCACATGATGGTGATTTCTATAATCATGGAGTACATTTCAAGTCTCCTGCCCCATTTATCTCTTCCAATCCGTTTTTTTTTAATTACCCTGTGTTCTCTTACTGCCTTGCAGCCAACCTTGGCCCATTTGTGCACCCTCTGCCTCCCAGCAATAGCCATCCCTGATCCAGGTGCACTCCTGCCAGGCTGCAGCAGTCCCATGCTTTCTGCTGACCTGCTTGCAAGTGCCCAGGACTTGCAAGTTCCTGCCATTTTCTCCATTGACTCTGATTGTTGAAAACAAGAATTCATGAGGAATTACTGTGACTAGGCAGTATGGTCATGTAACATCAGTCACGCTTTATGACCTTATTGCTTAATGCTGAAAATTCTATTCCCAATTACTGAGTTATCAAAGGACTATCTAGTATTTTAAAGGGATTGGTTATATGCGTTTCTGAGCACCAGTGTCTGCAAAATGACTTCTGCATAGTAGAACAAATAATTGTTGCAGATCTGGTAGTCATAATTTAGCAAGGCATATGGCTGTACAAAGTGAGAGAAGTTTTAAGATTATATAATCCCAATTAAGGGCATGTAGATTCAAAATAATGGGTTTATATTCAGGTCATCTGTCCTTCTTTTTGCAATGGATTTGTTATCTTGGGCAAGTTATTTACTTTTTATTCTTTTCAGTTTCCCTAAGTGAAGATTGGTATAGCTAGTTCAGTCATGGCAGCCATTTTATAGTGACATAAAATGGTTTTTTTGAGATGCAAAATATTTCCCAGCTCAAAAAGACTGAACTCTTTTTTCTCTTAAGATTCTGAAACCTTCTGAAAAGAAAGCGAAGTACCAGTATGGTGGCCTAAACTCTGGACGTCCAGTCACTCCACCTCGCACAGCTAATCCACCGAAGAAGAGGTGAAGAAAGGAATACAGTAGAAAATCATCAGATCTGTAAAGGACAAAACACCATATATACAGTATATAATAAGTGTGCACTGTAAAACCATCCAGCCATTTGACAACCTTTATGATGTCACATCTTTAACTTAAAGAGACGGGTAAAGGATCCTTAATATTTTCTAGTTGACAGATGTGCAACACTGTATTGTAATAAGTATACACCAAGTTCCAGTAATCAACATAAAGTAAATCAGATCTAAACAAATTATTTTGGTTGCATACATGTCAGTTTTAAAGTTGACCAACATCCCAATTTAAGCTTAATGTAATAGTTAAATCAGATGAGAGCATGATGTTTCATTTGTGTAATGTGGTCTTACTGTTGCTTGATTGCTTTTATTTCTATTTTGTAGCTAGAATGATGGCAAGGTATCTTAGTAATGTTCCCTGGCTAAAAATGAACTGTGGAAGAGATTTGAATAGCCAGCTGTTGGTGTTCTTTCTCTTCCAGTAATCTTGCTGACTAAGTATTTGCCCCTCTTAATAGGAGTCTGGTGATTAAAGACAAACCAAGCTCAAGCTAGTTCCTACAGTAATGTTCCTTTTCCAAAGAGACTAGAAATCAGTGTTTTTTCATGAAACAAAACTTGTTACTTAGTCTGCCACTTCGTGCACTGCACCATTTTAAACTAACATTATACTCACAAGAACACTTCATTCAACTAAAATAGGTCAAAAGTTGTATTTCTTCTTTGTTGGTCATGGAATATCTTGCATTAGATTTTATTAGCATGAAACATTTTTCAGCATGCTTAGTTTCTTGATAATGCCATTCTTGCATTAAAGTGCATTCTGCATTTCTCAGAAGACGTGAAGATTCTTCTCTGACAGGCCTTAGAAGTGCTATTTCCTTTTCTTCCCTGCCAACACTCCAGGAGGGTTTATTTAAATGTATATTGATAAGTAAGCAGTATGGTAACTAAGGCTAATGGTGGTTGAACTGCCTAATATATCTACATGATTGTAAGGCTTATGTCACAAAGAATGATATCTTCTGGATTTTCATGATCAAAATTCATATTCATGTAGAGATTTCTGCTTTGTAGTGTACGTATAGTAGCAATAATTTCTGTACATGATCAAGAGTTGATGCAGTATTTCTTTTCCTGCTTTCCTTTTTTAAGGATTCATATTAATGATAAGTGTAAGGTCATGTGTAAAGTTTGTAAGATAATAAAAATTGAAAGACAAAGATTTCATTGAATAGGATTACAAACTTTTACTGGACACTGACAAACTTGCAAGATTTAAGAGATAAGGTTACAATTTGTACCATTCTGTGTGCAACAATAAATGTAAAACTTTAATTTTGCGTTTGCAAACATTACACTGAGGATTTGAAACTTGCATTTTATAAATCGCACGTATTATGCAAGTAATTTCTGCTAAGTGAAGTTCTTTAAATTTAAGCCTCATTTCTAATTCCATTTTGTTTTAAACATTAAATGTTTTTTTTTTCATTTAGTAAAGTTGTTTAATTCATTTGAAGTCTGACTGTTTATTTCAATCCTTTAAAAAAAATTCTTTAGCTCTTAATGACATGCATTAATTGCTATGTGGGTAAAAGGTTGATACTAATGCTAATATAAACATTCAATAAGGGTATTTAAAAACTGTTATTTTCCTGTTTTAAAATCACAGAACTAGGTAATAAGAATGGTGCAGTGCCAAGTAACTGAACAAATGTCACTTCCAGAACAATGACTGATTTTCAGTTACAGTTATCCAGCACAGTGATAAAAAGTTCTCATCTGACTGCAGAAATGTGAACTTGAGTCATTAACTGGATGACAAATTCATGCCAATAACAACATTAGGAATTGAGAAAATGGAAACAAAGCTTAGCTTGCTGGTCAAACAATGATCCTTTTTTTTTTACAGGTGAACTCTTATTTAATGTTTTAGAACATTAATTTGTACAGTTGAGTTTAACTTTGTTTTAAAAAAAATGCTGTTACATAACTGCCCATTTAAGCATGGAAAACCTTATTGAAAGATGGTAACTTTTTACTTATCAGTACCCTGTAACTGATATCTCCCTTGTCATTTCTTAACATCTGGTAACAGTACGATTCTAGTTATCTTTGCAACAAATAATATAATCACTAAAATCACCACTTACCATCTTTTTCTTACAAACATTATTTCTGAAAGAATTTATTGCAAGCATTTAAGGCAGATCATGTTCAGTCCTTAGAACTGGTCAATGAATATGAAATCCCCATTGATATATGAGCTTTGGCATACCATAAGTTTACTTTGAAGATCAGTAATGTGTCATTTGCAGTTCCTTAAAAAATATTTTGGCCATGGGTGCATATCCTTTCTGTATAACCAGAATGGAAGCTGTAATGTATTAAGCATGATTTTAAACATTATTTTATTGTCTTGTCTTCCCACGTCTTTTCATTCACTGCTTGCATAAAAGGAACACAGTTCCTTTTTCTGCAATCTTTCTGTAAAGTTGGTGTCACTTTCTAGTAGCATTTTTCCACAGTTTTATTTCTAAGCTTCTACTTAATTGTGTGGCGTTTTCTTTCCTGCCATTGTTCCATCAAACTGTCATATAAGCAATTTGCTTAAAGACAATCTTGTGCAATGTGGATGGACTGCTAGAAGATTTCGATATGAAAGTAGTTCACAGGATAGTTTTTGAACAAATGTATAAAAGACTTTTTTCCACGTGTGAATGGACATTGTTTAAAACCCATCTTGTGGATGCAAAATATCATATCCAAGCTGGTTGTGTCCTGCCAACTTGGAGGAATATTGAGTTTTAGGAATAAATACAACTAAACCTCTTGATTCTGTATTCGTGTCTCTTATTTGCACATTAATGCGTTTCAGTTGTATACATTGTCTTACCTGCTGTTAAATCCGTATCTGCTGTTAAATCCAAAATTGCAGACATGATGTTTTGAAAAAGAAGAACACCTTTAAATGCCACTAACTTTGTTAAAGACAAGGCAATAGGTAGAACTCAGTGAAGCTCTTCACTTGGTCCCAACTTGCTTCACTAGAATGGGTTGGGATAGCTTTCTGTGCAGCATCCCAATATCTGCTGAATTTTGGGAAATGTCTAGAAGAGACTCTTGGAGGACTAACCAATATCCATATTTCATAGTTGTCAGTATTGTAGAGATAAGCTTAGACAATTAAAAAGGCAGAAGAAAAAAATGTTTCCATGCCGAGCAGTTGCTAACACACAGCCAGACATTTAAGAAACATGGAAGCTCACCAAAACAGTGCACTGTTTTTTGGGTGAGCAAAAGAATATGAAATGTACAAGTGACCCTCCCTTTCAGATAGAAACTTTATAGAAATATTAAAATATATACATATTGCAGATTTAAGAAATCATAAATTATTTTGTAGATATCCGTCTTATGTAGACACAAAAGATTGGGAGAATTTTGTTTGCAATACTTCTAGTCTATCTCTGCAATTAACCAAATACTTTGGAAAATAAAATATAAGGCTTTCCATCCTTGAACATGAGTTCATGTTTATATATGAATCCAGATTCATTTCTCTGTTGCAGAATTTTCTGTTACTTTGTACTTGCTCACAAATGTATTAAGAAAATGGACATAAACATTTTTGGTTGCTTTAGTGATTAAGAAACTATGATGGTATGACATTTACTCTCACGACTTGAAGACATCCAAAGTCTCATCCAACCCCAGGATTCTATGATTTTTTTTTTTTTGCAAGTCTGGTAGAATCCCCACATCTTGTGAGTCTTTACCCTCACAAATAGATTTGCTGGGAATGCTAATACCAATATTTAGAAAGGTAGAGTAAAAATTAAAATTGTGAAATTAAGTAATAACAAGTACCTGATATTAATATTGTTATTTTGTTTGGAAGACACAAGTATGCACAAGCTACCAGTTTCAAATAACGCATATTTGAGAGAGTGCTTTGATTTTTGTTATTTGCTTACTATGTATGAGGTAGTATTAATTTTGTATTTTAGGTGGAGAGGAAAGATATAAAAAAGGACCAGATCAGACCAGTAACTGGAAAATTAATTAATTGTAAGTCGAGTATATGAGATGAGAAAAAGAAAGGAAAAAAATGAATAAAAAAGATCCCCCAGTGCATCAGTATGGAAGAAGCAGCTAGGAAGCTACTCAAAATGTTGGCAACTACTACAATTTAAGTTGTCTTCCCTTCTGTTCACTTCTGAAAATAGAGTGTATGCAGCCTGCCTCCTGATTTATCTGCATGTTCATATAAAAATATGATCATTGCTACAGTAAAAACGTTACAACCTTAGAAACTGTTCTGCCTGTTTTTCTTACCTTGTTTTAAAACCACAACAGAATACACAGAAATAAACATTAAGCATACCTAAACACTAAGGTAGTTCTTAGTGTGAGTTTTCAAACAAGATTCTGAGTAGACTCCCAACTGGAAAAAATACTGGGGTGATGAATTGTAACTTTTCCTTTCATCCTAATGAGCAATATCAGCACCTGTTGGATGTATTTATAATTTAGATGGATTGATTATATGCCACTGAATTATCTTCCTTTCACTTTTCCTGGCATTACAGACTTCTCAATAAGATTCAATTTCCGATAAAGCTTCCTTGTCTGTTTTCCTTAGAACAAATACCTGATGATGCACTGGAATAATAATCTAAAATTCTTATACACAACCTACCCCATTATTTGGATTCTGACCATAGAATTTAGGAGTCAAACCTTTAGGTCCAATACTATTGCACATCTTTGAATTCCAATGTATAATAGGCCAGTAAAGAGAAATTAGCATTGAACAGATGATGAAATCTTCCTTAAATCTCAATTTTATCATATAATGCCTATTGGAAATTGTATGCATTAAGAGGGTATACATATTTATTTGTGAAAACCTAGGATTGGTTGAAAAGAAAAAAGATTCAAATCGGAAAAACTGCTACTATTATATACAGTATGTCTTTATACTAAGAAGTAACTTTTTTCTGCTTGCTGACAGTCCAGTCCTATGTTATTCAAACATCAACTTAAAATTATGAACTATCTCTGTTGGAAATCTGTTCATGTCTCAAACAGCTTTCAGCTAGGTTGTGATTAGAAAAATGACCACTCTGCGTGTATTATTTGGGTCAAATGATGGCAACCAATGGATAATTTCATCAAGTGCATTGTAAAGAAGCAGGAAGAGGCTGTCGACATGTCTATTAAGTCTCTGACTTCAGTGAACTGTAAAAGTATACTCAAGTAACCCTGGTTTTCTTGATCCTAGCCATGCTTTTTTTTCCAAACAATATATTAATTATAAATGTGCATTAAATTTGGTTAAATTCAGAATCTAAAATTCAACAGTTTTAGAAAGGTTCAAAATGTCCACAGAAAATTGGACTTACAGCTTTAATTTCTGAGCACTTTAAATGGATTTACCAGAACTCATCTATCCCCATGCTCAAAGATGGGGACCCAACATTGCAAGGAAGTGCCAGTTTTTAATGCTGTATAATTCTGTCATCCTGGGATAGGACTGATCTATGGGATCTGGGATAAGATGAACATTGGGTGCTTTCTTGGAAAATGCTGGATATATAATTTATCAGTGGCAAAATAAATAAATAAAAATTCAAGTGTATTTGTTAATTGTTATTCCTGAGTCCATGTTTTTGTCATCAAAATAGGAGAATAATCACTTTTGTATAAATTGCCAAAATATCTATGGAATGGAGAGAAAAGGGAGAAAACTTTTTCCTCCTCAAACATAAAAGCTTTGTCGTTCTCAAAAACTTATTTAAATAATCTTAAGTAATCTTCCAATGTTAATGAGCTGTGATGGTGCAGTGGTAAGAATGCAGTACTGCAGGCTACTGTCCAGTCCGAAATTGACATAACTGTACCCATTTTAGTTTGTCTTAGTATATATTCTTTTTCTTATTTTCTCTGTGGCAGTCACGGGGGGAAGGGTTTCAGGCTTGACACATTCCTAAGTGGGGAGGAGTGGAGATAAAGAGAGTGTTATGGCTAGGTGATCTTCTTTCCCATGGGAAACAAGCTGTCCGTGCTTGGGCCCCTAGAGGTGGAGATTTATGACATCAAGCAATGTTGAATTACTTCTATTGGAGAATGACTTTTGGGGGTTGTTTCTAACTTCTAATATTGTGGGGTAATTCTGGTTTGGGTTAGATACGGAATTACCATGGACTTTGTCATTTGATGCTTTCCTAAACAAATCTTTTTGAAAGATGGACTTTGTACTTTTTTTTAAAGTGGATTTCATCACTTGGAAACCTGACAGCTACTTCTGCTGACTGCTGGCTGACTGCAGTTGGGCAGTTCTTTTCTCACCAGCTCAAGGCTGACTCTACCTTCCATCCTTCCAAGGTTGGTAAAATGAGGACATTGGGGGCAATATACTGACTCTGTAAACTGCTAAGAGAGAGCTGGAAAGCACTGTGAAACAGTATATAAGTCTTAAGTGCTATTGCTAATCTATCTGAACTTTTGCAAAAATCATAAGCTGTAGATCATTGACGTAATTCCTACCATTTTTTCATTTTATATTATGGAATATTATGAGTCCCAACAGCCCTGACCGATGGACTCATCTGAAATTTGAAAGTTATTTCTTGGAAAGGGACTACAGAAATAATCTAAGTTTCTCAGTAACAATGAACTATTATTTCCTTTTTTTAAAAAAAAAATCTACATTAAGTATCTGATGGAAAGATTAAAGACTGTCAAATGCTTCAATGCTTGCTATTTTCATTAAATTCTTTTGAGGGGAAAAGATCATATAAGTATAATGCAATGCAATGCAAGGAACAGACCAAGGTTAGGAGGAAAACAATATCAAATTATCTAGTTTTCTGCTGGCCTCTTTTGCTGTTACTTTCCCCCGCCCCAAGCTTCTCCAAAGACACTTTATTTTCACATTAGGTATCTACAGTACAATACATAAATCTGGATATCGGTAATTTTTATTAGTGTTCCCGGTGAGCTCTCTGGTTTTATTTCAAGGAGTATTGAATTATTTGTTCTCTTTGCTGTTCAAGGCATTTTCACCACCATTCAAAGGCACTGATTTTTCCCAGCTTATTGTTTTTTTCCCATTCAGTTTTTATAGCCATACATTATATGTAGAAAACCCATGTTCTTTGTATTACATATTTTGCCATCTTATATCTTTGGCATTGCGATTGTTTCTACATGTAGATTTTTTGCAAAGATTTGTCATTTCCCCCCATGAAACAAACATCTATACAGCATTGCATGGTTACAGTAATAAACTTTTAGAATAAAAGCTTGTTACTACTTGAAATTCTATTTGCATTGGATTGGAGTTGATGAAGTTTGATTATTTTTCTCAAGTATTCAGTTGGTTCAGTTTCATATGCTGCACTAAACCAAACCCACAGTGTTTTAATTCAGTATATAATTAAATTATATACTTCAGAATAAAGCACATTTGCCAAAATCCATAATGCAAAAAGCAAATCCTATATAACTACTTTTGACTATCCTCATTTCTCTTAAATTCACAAAAACTGCCTCCCAAATTGTTTAGAAGCTGTCCAGCAAAATTTCTGGAAATTTATTTCTAACTGTAAACCATAAAAATCCTGATAGACAATATACGAATAAAAATAAGTATTTAATTTGGTTCTTATGTAATATTAAGGTACAACAATTTACATGAGTCACAATGACCAGTTTCATGCACTGCATCATACCAAATGGAAATGACCTCATAATATTTAGAAACTTAATTTCTGTAATGTGTGTAGTATTTGCAATCTGATTCTCCAAGAGAATTAAGGGTTTGATTTTGACAGTGGATGTCTGCTGCCCCCTGCTGTCCAGCTAATTATGAAAACAAAATACTTATTGTGCAATGAGACACAAATTAGTGACCAAAATTATTTTTGGCTAAGATTACTATTTTCCATAAGTATGTTGCTAGTTCTTAATCTGATATGTACTTTTCAAGAAAAAAAAGGTTTCCTTATGTTTTGCATACTTCTTACTTGAAGAAATATAAATTATAAATACTTTTAATGATTTACCCCAATGGAACAAAATCCTATCATAGTTAAAATTATCCTGCTTAAAAGAAGAATTGATTAATAAACAAGTAACATCACGATTTATAACTTCATGCCCCCCTAACCTTAAAAGCTTTGAAAAGGGATCAATCCATCAGACAATGACAAATATAAAAGATGGGAGAATTATTGCTATTAATTAGTTTAGCCAAAATAGGCTTCCATGAGACAATAACACCTTTTAATAAATCACCAGGGATATATTCTTCTCTGGGCACTTTGCCTAATGGCAATACCAGGATCAGATATTCAATTTCTTTTAAAGAGACGGTGAGCCAGGGTATAGTGTCACAAAGTTTTAGGTTAATTGGATTAACTGGAGTTAGGATGGGGAGCCATCCAATATATAGAGATCATTCATTCCTTTTTGGTCACTCAAATCTCTGCATTCTTAACTTCATCCAAATTGGCATTTACCAATTTCCAGAACAATGTGTCTTTAGAATCTATGGTGTCAGGCGAGAATGCCAAAGAGACATTTGATATAAGGTCTTTTTGTGTTTTAGGATACATTTATACACAATTTTCTTCCTAAGAAATTTTATAATTACTCATGGGACACAACTATCTTTTGCTCTCCTTACCAAATGCCTATCTAGACAACATGCTGTTCCACTTCCCATATCAAACCAACGACTATGTTATTGGTGAATTGAAATTTATTGAGAAGTATCCTGCCTTAATTCTTTATTTTCAGCATAACACTATCTTCAAAGCCAATATATTGGAATGTGGGAGGCTGTTGATCACTACAGTCTTGCCAGTGGTGGGATTCAATTTTTGTTACTACCGGTTCTATGGGCATGGCTTGGTGGGCATGGCAGGGGGAGGGTACTGTAAAATTTCGAGTCAGAGGTGGTATTTGCCAGTTCTCCGAATAACTTAAAATTTCTGCTACCGGTTCTCCAGAACTGGTCAGAACCTGCTGAATACCACCTCTGAGTCTTGTGGAATAACATCTGTGTTTTGAAATGTTCCTATTATGGAGCATACCTAGTCAATTATTGTGTTCTATCAGCATTTGCTGCTAATTCCCCATTAGGATGGATAAGCTACATATAGGTCACTAGCTTAGTTGTCATTTATTATGTTCTGTCCTCTTGTTGTCTACAAAACTAGAAGGACATGTCCCATTTATAACTTGTGCATTTAATATTAGTTTGATTTAACCCATTTTTATAGGTCTTTAAAGCTGCCAAGTTTGAAGACCTCTGGTTTAGAGCAAGATATTCAACAATTGATTATTGTTTTGTACTGGGGTATCTGATAAATAAGAATATAAAACACACCCACGGGTTGCATGTTGCCTTTGGGATTTTCATGTAGCTTTTCATACTACTGATAGGAACAAACCATATATTAAACTAGATCAGCATTCTAGAAGTTGAATTTTGATAGAAAGCTAATATATACAAGTACTCACATTCAGTTTAGATTCACCTCAGCAGGGCACCTGAAAGATATCAAGACTTTTAAAGTGGTAAAACAAGGATATGTTATTAAACCTTTAATCTATACTTTGCAAAGAAAGCATTGTCTTCCATAAGTCTGTTTAAATCACAATCTGAGCATTTTATATTCTATTGCTATTTTGATATTTTGACATAACTGTGCGGAACTGTAGATAACATGTTTTCCACCCTTATTTAATGGTTAATAGTATTAGCATAAATTAGCACACTTTTACTGCCTAAGTGAAGACCTAAGACTGGGAAATAACTTCTTTCCTTCTCTCACCCATCCTAGAAACAAGATCTGTTTTAGTTCATTATTTAATATTCTGATTATGTTCTACTTTGACCCACTCTCTTAAAACTAAGCCATTCTTAGACTGGATTGGTGAATTCCTTCTGTTTCAATTGGCTGAGAATTATAATGCCTGGGTCCTTATTGGATAGAAATTTAATGGGGGAAGGATGTTAATAGCTCCTTCCCAGAAAACATTGTGCTCCACACTGAAGGAAGGAGTCAGTCTGAGGAGGAGATTTTTGATTGGCTGAAAAAAGCAGTGACTCCCTCCTGATTTTCCTTTCCCATGTAGGGCATTTAAGCCTGAGGTAAATGTAGCATGCAGGAAGTTTCATGTTTTCTTAATAATTACATGCTGCTAAATATGAATCTTTGTTAGTCTTTGGCTCAAAGACCATCTGGAGGAAAAAATAAATAAAACTTAAAGAAACACACCACAAGCCTCATGTCAGCATGTGACAAATATCTTTATTATTTGGGGAAGGCCACCATTTTAATGTGTAGTTTTAGGGCAGAAGGGGCCACTTCTGAAATTATTTCTGTGCCTTTCAGCACTTTTATTTCTACAGTACAAAGTACAAAGAGAAATAGTTTTCTCTTTAAAACATTAGGGAGAGCCTGTTTTGTAAGGGAAATTCTAGGGTGTCATTACTTATAAATAATATTAAATACGTATGCAGGGTTGGGTCCTTGTGTGTGTGCATTAGGCCATCTTTTGAAATAATCTGCTTTTACGAACAAAGAATAACCACAAGCAGCAAGCAGCATCCTCAGAGGCCTTCACAAGCCTAAAAGATACAAGTTAATACATTTTATAGCTTCATAAGTTTTTTTAAAAATAGCTGATTACCTACGCCCAACATTTTGAAACCCACTTGAAAAGGCAAACAATGGCTTTTCAAATTAGCAGTCATAAAAATGGAACAGGGTGAGAGTCTTTTTTTTAAATCCTATGAGGATACAATTACCTTGTAGTATATTTTCATTATACTCTCCTCACACTTATTTTTTTTCTGCTGAAGGATTAAAAGGCACTGGAGCTAAAAAGATTATTAGAAAAATAAATTGTCACTGAGAATGTCTTTATTTCGTTCACATGGGATTTAGTTGGAATAGAACAAAAGTGTTCTGTAATAAAGGCAAAGTCTTACTTTGGGGAGTGCATTTCTGACTTAGTAATGTCATTTTAATACTGTTGTTAGCTTTTTTCCTATCTTTTTGCTTCTAAACTTTTGTTTAATTAATATTAACACAGAAATGAGAACCTCTGCTTTTTAGAAAGTTAGTAAACTACAATTCCCAGTTTTAATTCCAAAACATGTCAGGGAAATTAGCTGTTCCCTTTTCTGAAATTAAGAAACTAAAACTTTACTGCAGTATGAAAGACCTCAAATTAGAAGAGAAATAGAGAGACAGTATAAAAGGAGAAAAATTTACTTTTTACTGGATAATAAACAGTTACATATTTATCATGTTTTAAATCTGCAGGCTTTCTATTACCCAGTGGTTCAGTTCCATTGTCAGGATATGAGGTAAGCCGGACATGAAAATCTTTCAACTTTCCTCTCCTTCAAAAACCTGTAGGAATCTATCCCAAGCATTAGTTTTGGGCCATGACAACATATAGACTTAACCTTAACCCTAGATTCATTTTTAGTTTCAATAGGGATTTTCCCATGTATTTTACTGTGGTCCACAAACAACTCCAAACAAAAAGTTATCAGCTTTCCTTTTCTTAAAAACCTCGAGGAATCTATTCCTAGCATTAGGTTTGAGCTATGGCACCATGTAGAACTAACCCTACCCCTAAATTCATTTTTAATTCAAATGGGATTTACCTCTGTATTTTACTGTGGTCCATAAACTCTGAATGAAAAGCTTTCAACTTTCATTTCCTTCAAAAAACCTCAAGGAATCTATTCCTAGCATTTGGTTTGGGCCATGACACCAGGTAGAACTAACCCTAACCCTAGCCCTAACCCTAAATTCATTTTTAATTCAAATGGGGTTTGCCCATATATTTTATTTTAGTCCACAAACAACTCTGAATGAAAAACTGTCAACTTTCCTTTTGTTCAAAAACCTCAATTAATATATTACTAGGATTAGGTTTGGGCCATGACATTGTGCATACCTAATCCTAATCCTAACCCTCACCTTAACCCTATATTCACTTTTAATTCAAATGGGATGCACCTATGTATTTTACTGTGGTCCACAGACAACTCTGAATGAAAAACGATCAACTTTCCTTTACTTCCCAAATTTGGGAAAATCCCATTTGAATTCAAAATTAATTTAGGGTTAGGACTAGGGTTAGGGTTAGATTTAGGATTCAGGTAAAGTTGACATATTGTTATGACCCAAAACTAATGCTCTGGATAGATCCCTACAAGTTTTGGAAGGAAAGGAAAGTTGACAGCTTTTTGTTCAAAATTGTGGACCATAGTAAAATACATGGGAAAATCCCTTCTGAATTGAAAATGAATTTAGGGTTAGGGCTATTGTTAGGATTAGTACTACATGGTGTCATTGCCCATAATTAATGCTAGGAATAGAGTCCTTGAGGTTTTTGAATGAAAGGAAAATTGACAGCTTTTTGCTCGGAGTTGTTTGTGGACCATAGTAAAACACATGGGGAACATTCCATTTGGGGGTGGGTTTCTACTGGTTCTGTCCACCTCTATAGAACCAGTTGCTCTGAAGCGCAGCAGACCTAGAACCGGTATATATATATCAATTAGATTGTACTTTATGTAGCAAAAATATTGCAAAAATATGGAAAACATACAACATTTGCTCATATTATATGAATAAAGATATAGCACGTATGCATAATGTATTTTTCATGATATCCTTTCTATAACTTCAATTTCAGCTAAGAATTTATTTTTATTTCAACAGGTAACTTCATTTAGGAAAATGAAACATAACCAGAGCTGCTGTCAAACACCTCCCACTATTACCATTCATGTAAAACCAAGTGAATCTAAATCATATCAGCAAAAAAAGACACTTGCCCTTAAGCGCCCAAAATTTAAAGACTGCCGGGGGACCTCTGGAAAAAACATTAATCATAATATTAAGCCAAAACAATTAAAAGGTTCATGTTTAATTATTCAGCGTCAGGAAATGACAGCTTTCTTTAAACTATTTGGTAGGTTTTTTTGTACATTAATAGAATTTTACATCTATGTATACACACACATATGCATATAGTACATATGTAAATTGTACATATGTATAAAACATAGTTTTATACATATGTATATTGATTATGTGCTATCAAGCCATTTAAACACATTTATATGAAAACACATACATAATATTTCAGGTTTCAATAAAACGTGTAAACTAATTGTATGTGCTTGAGAGGTAACTCAGAAACTCAGAAACTTAAAACTCTAGCATTCTCATTTTATTCTCATAAGAACCAAAATATAAATAAACATCTCCTGTGCTTACATAATTCAATGATAGAAATGACTGTTTCATCAGCCTTCATATGTGTGGAAGTTGGCCATTAGATAAGGCTCATAAATCTACTATAAAGAAGTTGTTTATGTTCATACCATTTTTTCCATGGTTTTGGTTTTCTTTAGAAACAACATCCTTTCTCTCCAAATAGCTGGTGATTTTATAGTCAAATCAGAAATTAGGAAAAATATAATTTTATTGTTAAAAGGCTGTTTTCAAAGAATGTGTCCTGAGATTATAATTAGTTTACTGTTGCTGCCTTATTTTATAGACGATGATTTGATACAAGATTTTTTGTGGATGGACTGTTGTTGTAAAATTGCAGACAAGGTAGGCTTATTACTTTTAAGTCAGTATAACTTTAAAAATCAGAGGATTTATATTCTGTTGTCATCTATCAAACCCTATTGTTTTATGCTAATTTCAGTTTAATAATTATTGTTTTAAATAACATGAAAATTTAAAATATTGTGATTAGACTCACATAGATCAATATCTTAATAATACAAATCAACATTTTATAAATCTAAATAAAAATAATGTATTGTACCTCTTTTGGCTCTAATTCTTAATACGTGCATGCTGGACATTACTATCTAATAAATAGGAGGCTCATTTTAATATAGTCTAAGCCACTTGCCTGAATAACCTTACAGCGTTATTTATTCATTTGCTGAATTAAAAGTCTGGAAAAATATTTATTCAAAACCCAACTGTAGGCATTAAATGATTTTAACTCTGATATTAAAATGCTGCAATGAATAAAATATTATTGGGAGAGTTGAGTTCTGCTGCATGACATCTGTTAGGGCTTAGAAAACAGCAAAGAATTTGACAGCAGTGGCTGTAGGTATTGATACCCCAATACAACACCACGGGATTGTGCAGAAAGTGGCACACGGCATGACATACTAACAATGTATGTGACAGGCTATTATGTAATTAGCAGCACTTTACCCTGCAGCACAAGGCCAGTAGCTGCAATTTATTGGCCCATTTTTCTCTATATCAGTTTCCTGTTTTCTACATCTCCAGTATAACTGAAAAATTACTTGATCCTTAATACGTTGGTTAGGAGCGATATCTCTGGCCCTGCTTTATGTCCTACTAACGAGATTAAGGCAGTGAGTTTCTGTGACAGAGTGTGACTGAAAAATCTAATTGGAGGTGTGATTCACCTAAATTCAAAAACCATTCTGTGTTTGGCAATTAATTAAAAATAATGATTTTCTTTTTTTTGCTTTGTTGATAATTTTTTTTCTGTTGATTTTATCAAATGACTGTTTTGTCATTTTTAGGCCAAAGGGAAAAGAGGAACATTAATATTCTACTTTCTTTCAACAGTATCTTTTGGCAATGACTTTTGTTTATTTCAAGAGGGCTGGCTATAGTATAAATGAACACACCAGGCTTAATTTCTTTGTTGCTCTGTAAGTAACTCTAAACTTTATAGTTGTGATTAAAATACAAGAGAGCATTTATTACCTGAGAGAAGAGTAGTTAGAACAAAGCCTTGCTGGCTCCAATAAATAAATATTTATATTTATACATTTATGATACTTATAATTATATTTATAATATTTATATCCTGAAGCATATTAGGACTAATAGGCTGATAGAAATTTAATTTGTAAAATGGTGTATGAACCCAACATGTTGTCAAAGCTAAGTAGAGGAGTGGCTGATTTCTGCAGATTTCTAATATTTTAAAATGAAAGTTAAGAATGGAAATATTTATATTTTATGTCCATAGAAAATAAACCCCAAAAATATATAGTTGTGCTGTGTAACCTTTTTTTTTTTGGGGGGGGGGGGGGAGGGAAGACCAGGGACAATAGAGCCTTGTTAATTCTCTACTAGAGTAGTTATCTAACTTTCAATTTCTTTTTCAATACATATTTTTGGAGTTCTGTACTCCTGATTTGAATAGGCTTCATATTTCAGCTTAAGTATAAGGCGAAAACTTCATTTAACTTTATAAACCTTTAGGTGACTTCTTCAGTGGGAAACAATAATAAATGTTTACAATTTAAAAATGTTAATGAAAATTGTTCATATCCTAAAACTAGAAACTACTAAATTTTAGGAAAATAAGTACACTAGGCAATTATATATTTAAAAACCTACTATTTGGACCAAGTAGTATTTTTGCTCAATTTGCTTCAGTCTAAGTGAAAAGCTATGAAGTCAGATTTTGGCAGTAATTATTAAGCATCCTTAGAATGCTATTTGGTGGACAAGACTCACGACTGTGTTATGGGATTTGCTTTACCATAATTTATTAAATAGGAACAATTGCTGATATTCATGAATAATGCTAAATCAAGATACAGTTTAAAACTTTTTTAAAGTGATAATTTCCCTTTATTAAGGAACAAATCTTAATTATTAAGCCATCCAAACCTGGCAGGGCTGGAAGATTTCATCCCTGCATTTCTCTCAACTGTGCCATTAAATAGCTCAAGAGGGTTGTATAGCCACCAGTAAATGAGAATGTTGAACTCATCTTTAAGTTGTCCACAGTAAAAGCAAACTATTAATTTGATGTCAAAACCGTATTTTATTAAGAAAAACAATCTACATTCTTGTGGAAACTCCTGAAAATTACTGAGAAGCTAAGTAAGCTTTATTCTTCTCTCTAATAGTTTAACTCCTTTAAAGAGGATCATCCAGATAACTATCATTCAGATAGCAATAAAGCTGCAACCTTAGTACACTTTATTAGACATTCAGTAAATTTTGTGTGTGTGTGTACACACAATCATAAAACGAAATAGTTAAAAAAAGAGATAAAACATAAAATACAGAAGAATCAACAAATAATATATCTTGGATCTTATGACTTCTGGTATATCATTAATTATAAATAACTAACTATATTTGTGGATTTATTCACTTTTATATTTCTATATATTTACCCATATGGGCTGCAACAAATGAAAGACACCAATTCATGTCTGACCAGATGGTATCTGATGTTTCAGCCATATCAAATGTAATATTGTACATCAAGGGACAGCGAAACCCATTATTGACTTATCACTGAGTGGTAAAGATGTTGAGATTACACTAACTCCATGAAAAGGAAAAAAAATTAAAGACTCTGGTTTTTTTTCCTTTCAAAAGAGATGGGATTTGTGCACAGGTAAGCTGTTTGAAAGAATTGCAGGAGTCTATACTGCCTTCTTTCCTTCCCATCTCAGTTTTCTTTTAGCATCACCACAGCAAGAGTTGCCAATAAAGCTGCAATCTTGGCAGAGGTATGGGAGTTTTGAAGCTCTGCAACCAAGAGTAAATAGAATAGAGCAGCCAAATGAAAGAAGGTTTTTCTTTAGAAGCAGTGGATGATCCAAAAGGAGGAAATGAAGTATAAAGCCTCAGGAAGACAAAGCACAATGTAAGAAAAGGTGCAAGAGCTCTACATGCTGACTAGTAAAAGAAAAGGAAGGAATTTCAGAGATAGTTAACTTAAGACAAAGCAGGCTTAAGAAAGATATGTTTATACATACTAATAATAATTTATAGAAACTTCAGCAGAAGATTTACAATGCATTGGTTAAAAAGGGGGAATTCTTTCTGAGGGACTAGCAAAATTCAGTATTACCCCAATTGTTTTGGGTTTAAAATGAATATTTCTAAGACAAAACCAGAAAAGTACTATGTAGCCATTTCATTTGTTAGTTGCGAAGTCGTGTCTGGCCCATCGTGACCCCATGGACAATGTTTCTCCAGGCCTTCCTGTCCTCTACCATCTTCTGGAGTCCATTTAAACTCATGCCTACTGCTTCAGTGACCCAGCCACTTCATTCTCTGTTGTCCCCTTCTTCTATTGCCCTCAATCTTTCCCAGCATTATGCTTTTTCCAGTGAGTCCTTCCTTTCTTCAGATTTGTAGAGCCATTTCATACGGCTCTGCAAATCTGTCAAGAGATGCTTTGCAATACACAGGGGTATTTGAATCAGCAAAACAGAAACATCTTTTTGGGGGTTCCCTTGCTTGTTTCCTTGCTTCCAGTTTCCAACTCTGCCTGTATTGTTGAAACATTTATTTATTGTATGGCACATTCATAGCATATTTTGATAAAAGATAAAATATGAAATAAAAAATATAAAATATTATAAATGTATGTCTAGATTACATATATTTTTTTTACTTCATTTCAGCAAAGTCTCCATTATAGCCTCTATTTTAGCATTGTCACTATATGTTGGCTAGATTGTTTTTTTGGCCCCGCAGTCAAAATTTCATGATGGTATTTTGCCTCTCAGTTATAGAGGGCATCAGTCATCTACCATGGCCACTATGAGAATCCGGTGTTCTCCATATCGCATGGTGTTTGGCACATCCAAACTGCATTTTCAAAATGCAAGGCAAACTTTAACATTGTAGGGAGCGATTTTGTTTTACATATTGTGTATATCAAAATCATCTTCTAAAGTACTTTAGCAGGAGAAATAGCTGGATATCTGGAACTCAACCTGTTTTGCTCCAGGCAAGCTACATAACTCAGTATTAGTACCCAAGAGTGATAAATAATCTTCAGGTATTTGTGATGACCCGGTGCTGGGCATGGAAGCAACACAGCCAGAACAAAGGCTTAACTCCCCTTTATTGCACCAACTTTCTCCCAAATGTCCCATCGTTCACTGCAATTCCAGGAGCAAAGCTCTAAACACACCTCCAATAGTTCCTGGCTGCTATTAGTCCAGAGGAGCAGCATAGTTCTGAGAGCAGCCGCAGTTCAGAGAACTTGGTCCCAGGGAGTCCTCGTCACAGGAAGAGTTCACTGAGATTGCAACACAATCTGGAGCAGAACTGTGTTGCTGCGAACTTGCACATAGCCAGGCCAGGCAAGCAGAGCAAGGAAAGGAGGGCATGGGACTGATGGGACCATGAGAGTGTTCTTGGAGGACCACCTTTTTTCATCTTATTTCTGGGAGTCGTATGTGGCTCAAAAGAAGCAGCCAACATGTGGGAGTACTTCTGATCATCCCAATATCAATGTGATTGGCTCAGGCAATTGTGCATCAATCCTATTTCTGTGGGAGTTATTAAACCATACTGTGGCACAATACTCTGCTGCTGAATAAACCAGTACAGTGCAGGATGACTATTCGTATCCGTGACATTCCCTAAGTCACGTGTCCTCTGGATGATGCTAAAGAAACAGTCACTTCAAGATGAAACATCTGAAACCTTCAAGATACAGCAGCTATGGGGACAACCTAGCCCTTGGCCCTTTTTATGACGGGTGGCTTAGGGTTTTACATCAAGCTGTTGGGTGAGCTCAAAATCAGTATGGAGTGTAGTATCATAAGTATACTGATGATATTCAGACGTACATCTTTAGCGCAGGCCAGATAAGTGATGTGGTTGAGGCACCTGGAGATTGTGAGCATCTGGAGGGGTTCATGTGAGAGTCTGGAAGAACGGGTATTATACAACCCTATGAAGATGGTGTTTTTAAATTTAATTTTTTACTTTTAAAATAGTAATAGAAAAAGAACAAAACACGAAGATAATTATAATGGGTACATTCTCAAAGGAAAAAATGTATAAAAGATGCTTTAAAAAGGTGAAAAATACAACAGGAAAAAAGAAACAAAATATATCATTAGAAAAGATAACGCACTATTTTATATGTACTTAATGTAAACACAATACAAGTCTATATATTTTTATTTCTAATATACAACTATCATTCTTTTTTAACATACTATATTTTGTATAAATGAGTTCCATATTCCATTATACTTGTGCATATAAAATCTGTATTTATGTATAATCTTCTCATAGACGTTAAGTGTAATCAGGTCTTCAATGCTATGGGTAAATGGGGCCATACTCTTATCTTTTCAATGCTGCAATACCAATCTTTTAGCCATAGTAAGGGCACAGGGACTCCATTTAGGTTGTTTGGTTGTCAAACTCCTTGTAGTAGGTATGTAATTCAAGTGAATATTTTCTTCTGAAAATGCTAGCTTTGTTACACATATTTATATAATCCACTACTTTATCTCAAAACCATGAGGCCCTATTCATGTTCATTCATCATCTTTTGATTTTACTGTTCAATGCAAGACTACTCTTGAAGACCCCCCTTCCCTACCCTGAAGGTTTAGTTGGTCCAGCATGCACTGGTAGGTTCAGTTCTGAAATTCCAAAGTTTCCCAATTTTGTGTGCATTCTAGTGGCTCCCAGTTACCTTTCAAGTACAATTCAAAGTGCTGATTATCACCTTTAAAGCCTTGAATGATACAGACCACTTTATTTGAGAATCCACTTCTCCTTGAGGCTGTCTATTCAGCTTACCAATACCAAATTTAAAAGAGTATGTGTGTTCCAGGTCCACTCTATCAAACAATGCCATCTGTCAAGACTTAGGAAGTGTTCCTTCTCTGTAGTGGCACCTGTCCTAAGGAAAAATTTCTTCTCTGAAATCCACTTTCCACTTTCTTTGTTTTCCATAAGGCCATAAAGACCTAACTTTTTCCACCAAGTGCTGGGCCAGGATGTGAACTCAGCTGGTGTAGGCAGCTGGTTGTTATGATACCTTTATTAGAGTAGAGCGATTTTTAATTTTGTACTTGTGTTTCTGACATATTTATATTGATCTGATTGTTTCTCGTCTTCTAGGGTTATATTTCAAGATGATAGCCATATAAAGCTTTTCAATGCATCTGTAAGAGAAATATCAATTGTACAAAGCCAGATATTTTAACTTGATTTGTATTCAGCATTGTTTCTATATTCCGAAACTGCAAGACTTTCATTTCTTTAAAAAAACTGAGATTTTTAGGATGCCTGAATTTATCTCTATTTTTGTATTTTGGTTTTTGAATTTCTTTGCTCATATAGCTCTGAGTTTGGTACTCTGAATATTAAGTTAAGATAAGCAAAAGTTGGAAATTATAATCTATTTTCCTAATATGAAATATAAGCTTAGGGATGTTTGTCCAAACTAAATTGTTTTGGGCAATCTGTAATGACATGGGGATGGGGGTTTAAGAAAAAAGATGGGAGTCATTGCTAAACATTTGATCAAAGTTATGTTTAATTGTCATATACATGTTATTGTAGATACCTTGCAAATACAGTTGAAGAAGATGATGAAGAGTCAAAATATGAGATTTTCCCATGGGCTTTAGGAAAAACTTGGAGAAAACTCTTCCCAGATTTCTTGGCTTTGAGAGATGAACTGTGGAGTAAGATGGGTTACAGAGCTATAGTAAGCAGACGTTGCTGTGAAGAGGTGAGAAAAGTATGTTTCATATTATTAAGAAAGAGGATAAGGTAAATTATAATAAACAACTTCTGTTTTCTAACCTTTCCTTGTTTTCAAAACTCTAATAGTTATTTTTAAATGCTGTCAAAATTACTCACTTTAATTGCTAGATGATACCATGTTTTCAAAGTACTCCTAATGAATAATTGACCTTCATCAAAGTGGGTGTATGTTTTAAAAAATATACTAGCATTTATTGGAAAATATGAAATAATCTATCAATACAGTGTACACTATGTAATTAGATACTAGCTATTTTTGTTACACCAGTTCACCAAACATTCTTTTTCCTTGCGGTAAGCACCCTCATTGTCATCTTGAATAAAGCTCGCTATCTTTATATCATCCTCATACTTCACAATGTGGTTGGTGGCAAACCTAGCACAACAGTCATGGGTCAACAGGGTGAACAACAGCAGATTTAGGAAACCGCCCTGAGGAGAACCTGTGCTCAAGAAAATGGTGTTAGAAATATTAGTCCCAATTTTTACATACTGGGCCTATCAATAAGAAAATCAAGAATCCAGTTGCACAAAGCCTAATAGGCTCAGTTTGTCTACTAGTTGCTGAGGAATGATTGAATTAAGTGCCAAACTGAAATTGACAAACAGCATTCACACATGAGCACTTCTTTCCTCTAAGTGCACCAAGCTAAGATGGGGAACAGAAGAAATAGCATCCTCTATAGAGCAATTTGGATGGTAAGCAAACTGAAATGATCAAATGCTAGAGGGAGGCTGGATACAATAATGTCCTTTATCAGCCTCTCAAAACATTTCATAATGTTGGATGTAAGCACAACTGGATGGTAATCATTGCATTATAGGTTTTCCACTGCTACCAAAGAGGGGTTTCTATTTTTTACTGTTTCTATTATTTGGGAATTTGTTTGCAGTGCAAAGTGAGCAGCAGCTATTTTATTGCTGACCAGTTTCCAGCCAATAAGTGCCTTTGTTGCTCATTCTCCCAAAACAAGGCCAACCCCCATGTTCATGCTACTCTTCATGGCCTGCTTATGATGGTCTTACCATTCCTATTAATTTGGCTACTCTCTATCCACCTGATCTGATTATACCTAAGATGTCTAGCTTGTAGTCATCAAAGAGCCACAGAAGTTGAGCAGATTTTTCAACCTGGTGTAGTATTTTCACATTCCATGTCCCAATTCTTGTGTGATATTTTTAGCTGAGAAAATCATTTTCAACTTCTGGCACCAGACTCCATGGCCAGTTTGCTCCAGTGTTGTCCTATAAACAATATGGCTTGAAACAGAACTCTTGCCTGGTTGACTAAATTTTCTTGAGATTATTCTTGTTGTCTTAAGTTTCTTTACCTTATGAAACATCATAGAACAGTGCATTGACATTCACTGGCCATCAACTTTATCAATTTTAAGAAAGCATTTGACAGTGTCCACCAAGAATCTCTCTGGTAGATCCTACATCTATATGGCGTATTGACAGTCTTCATTATTATTTTTAAAACTTATGAAAATGGCCATACAGACTTCTTCAAAATTACTGTCAGAGTTAGGCAAGATTGTATTCAATCACTGCTCCTCTTCTGGCCCTCGACTATGTTATGCAACAAACATCATGCATCGGGAAAGGCATACATTATTCTGACGAAGATTGTCTTGGCAACCTCGAGTTTGCAGACGATATTGCCCTAAGATGAACCCAAACTATAAGTGATGGCTGCCTTAGATGAAGAAGTAATCTAAATTAGCTTCAGAGTAAGTGCTGAGAAATCCAAGATCGTGTATAAGAGCTCCACCGCACAGATACAGGGAATCACATTCAGATCAGTGACTTGAGAAGGAAGAAAGGTTTACCTCTTTGGGTAATATAATTACCCGAAATGGAGACGCAGAGATGGACATCAAAAGCAACAGCTGGTTTCCAGATGGTGAATAAAATCTGGTCCTCATCACTGAAACTTAAACTCTGTTTGCTTGCTTCTATAGTAATTCTGACAACCATTTATGCCAGCAAGATTTGGAAGGCACTGGCAGGTATTAACAAGAGACTTGATATTTTCCAGTAAGATGCCTTCACTGAATCCTAAAGATACACTATTTTGACCATATTACTAATGAAGAAGTGCTCCAAAAATATTTACCACCCAAAAGACTCCAACTTGCAGGTCATGTTCTCCATGCAGAGAAAATGTCTTAGTGAAGAACATTCATGGAAAACTTAGACTCTAAACATCACATGGGAAGATGCTGAAGTACTTGCCTAAGACCGAAGATGCTAAAGATCCCTTGCTTCCGAATATGCTACATAGCACAGGAGGATCTAATGCTAAAAAAAATAAAAACTTGGAAAATGTGCTACTCTGCCTACAGGTAATCCTCAAATTATGAATGTAATAGAGCCAGCCAATTATATTTATAACCCAAGGATTCGTTAATTGGATCACATTAAATGAATGTGATCCCTTCCTGCTTTCCACAATACATTCGTTAATCAAATGCACAGGTTGTTAAGTGCACATGAGGTATCTCAGAGTGGAGAAGACCATGAGAGTATAGTGCTGGAACAGGCCACCTACTTCTAACCACCCAAGGTCTCCCTTCACCAAGATATCTCACTCTCTGCTTACAATCCCCTGGGGTACCCATAGTTGTTTCCTCTCCCCATCTGTCCCGCTGGGTCTCCGCAGGCACTGGGCCTGCTTTGCAAACCTACCAGATTGCATTTGGTCCACCCCACCCCATTACTGATTGCTCGCTTTTGAAGATCTCCAGATTCCAGAACAGGCTGACCCATGTGGCAGAAATGTGGCCGCCTTGTACTTAGATGCTGGTGAAGCTGTCACAGATAAGAGGGGCATGGAATGAATCTGTCAGGACTGCCCCCAGAGCTCCATGCAACCTCTCTTCTGCACTTTTGACTTTTTAGTTCAACATTCATCTGAAAATGGTGCCTGCCCTTTCACTTTCTCTATACTTATTAGACCAATTTTGCTAATAAATAGCGATTTTTTTATGTTGCATAGTTATGTCTTGTTAATTAAGAAAATTAATCTTGCCCACTAGCCTTTATAATTTCTGTGCACTGTTTGTTATATGATAGCTCTGATGCAGTCCTTTCTGAGATAAGAGTCTTTGATACAGGTAATGGCAATTGCCTCAACACATTATGTATGGCAGCGAGAACGGTCTCTTTATCATAGTGGAGCTATAAGAAACAATTGCAGAAACAAAGTACAGTTACCTCGAGGACCTAATGCCACACCTGTAGACTGTTCACTTTGTGGGAAAAAAACACGATATATACGGCTGGGATTATCATCTACCTCCTCCACTGATACTCTGGAAATGGTGGAGCAACATGTCACTCCTGGTTTGCTTGATCCAACAGATAAAATGCTCTTTGATCCATCCTATCATTGTCACTCCCAAGGTAAGTTAAGTGAACATAGAAATAAAATATTACTGTAATGTTTAAACATCTAGTCCAACTATAGCCAAGAAGTCAAAAGGGCTGTATGTTTAGAGATCACATATATGCCCCTCTTGCTGGCAATGTTTTGTCAGAGGTGGTATTCAGCAGATTCTGACCAATTCTGAAGAACTGGTAGTGGAAATTTTGAATACTTTGGAGAACTGGCAAATACCACCTCTGACTGGAGATTTTATAGTATCCTTCCCCTGCCATGCCCACCAAGCCACGCCAACAGAACTGGTAGTAAAAAAATTTGAATCCCACCACTGTGTTTTGTGTCTACATGAAAGCTACAGGGTGGATTTCAACTTAATGAAGGAACATCCTAATGCACCAAAAAATTAGAGTTAATAAGCTGAAGGGAAGAACAATAGAGAGTATTCAAAGCAACTATATTTCACCGGAAAGCCTTTTTACAATTTTATTTTGCTTGTTGGGGTTTTCATTCTATTATTCCTATTTATGTAATCTGTTCTGAATTACAGGTAGTTCTAAACTTACGACCACAACTGAGCACAAAATTTATTTTGTTAAGTGAGAAATTTATTAAGTGAGCTTTGCCCCATTTTATGACTTTTCTTGCCACATTTCTTAAGTGAATCACTGCAGCTATTAGTAACATGGTTGTTAAGTGAATCTGGTTTCCTCATTGACTTTGCTTGTCACAAAAGGCAATCACATGACTCTGGGACACTGCAACCATCATAAAAATGAGTCAGTTGTCAAGCATCTGAATGTAAATCACATGACCATGGAGATGCTACAATAGTCGTAAGTGTGAAAAATGGTCATAAGTCACTTTTTTCAGTGATGTTACTTCGAATAGTCACTAAATGAACTGTTGTAAATCAAGAACTATCTGAATACAAAAGCATAATGCTTGCTTATCCTTAATGACACTCTAAACTCCCAAATACTTCCATTTTTTTGACAGGTGACCAGCCTAGGAATGGGAAAAAAAGTAGTCGAGATAAATCCATGGACTGGTTTACTGGAAATGAAGAATAACAAAACTTAAGTTTCAAAATTAATAGCAAATTAAATACAAAATACATGTCAAAATATTTATTCTCTAAATTTATTTTATTTCTTTTATTTGTTAAACACATTAGTATATTGAAACATACTGTATCTTAGTCAATGTAAACACATCCATTGTTTCCCAAATCATACTCATATCAAATAAAATTTCTTCTAATGTGTTATTTCTGATGAAGCACGATCTTCCGATTGGCACATACCATCTGAAGCAGTGTTTGGATATAGTGAATTAAATTTCCTCAGCTTGACAAGGAATACTATATGAAAGGGGAGAAAAACTGTTTTAACAGTCATTAGCATTTTATTTTATTATTCATTTCTAAAAATGCTTTTACGGCGCTTATGAAAAACATAGTAATAATGAAATGTGTAGCTTATAACATTTTTGCTAAGTCATTCTTACCTGTATAACCAGCTTGATACGGGAAAGGTCTAGCAATGTAAGGTGTTCTTATATTGGCAGAAGCAAGAGCTGTTGAGATAAAATAAAATATGTAAATGACTAAAATTCTTTAATTCAAATTTGTTCTTGAAACAAATCCGTTATTGAATTACTCATCCCTGTTGTCAATTCTCATCATCCCCCACCCCCCCCAGCCTTGGGCACCTTCGCAACTTTCCCTGTTTGTTTCCTTTGCCATAAGATGAGGATATGACTTTTATTTCATATTGTCATCCCTGAAGGAAAACAATTATCAGACATCAGGCTAATTGAGGTTGTTTTATTGATAATTTCAATAATATATTTACACACTATTCAAAAGAGACAATCAAAAGCTAAGATGGAAACAAAAGGGGCAGAACACATCCCTATCCTCTGGCAACCAAGATTCATAAAAACAGTGATTAACACCAGGCAAACAATCAAGCAAACAAAAAACAATACCCCAATCAAAGAACTACCAAGGAGAAAAACTACATCTCCACCAACACTGACAGGGCAACAAGCTATGTACAGTATATAAACGGAACAAACTTCAGACTCACTAGCACTGATGTTGGGTAATGAAATGTCTGCAAGCAACCAACCATGCTCAGAGACCATTTAGGTTTCCATAGTTCATTCATAATGTGTGATGCAAGAAAGTTGTTGTTTATTCACCAAACTACAGTTAAGTAAACATGATTTAGTATGCATAAATCCAACCTATGATTTACCTCTTCTGAACAAGACATATCACTAGGTTACAATATTTCAGTTATTATTACAAAGAACCCAATTTATTTCCTACCTTCATTTCCTCTCTCTTCAGCAGAATCATCATTTTCATGATGACAAACAGTTTCATCATTGAGGTTTAGTTCAGATGCTATGTTTTTAAGAACATTTCTCTTTTCCCATGTAGCTGGGCATATTAGCCAATCTCTATGTGTAACTTCCAAAACCTTCTCACAAAAAAGGGCTAATTTTCTGATCCGGATAGCTTCCATCAATTCAATAACCTGAGTGATACTGGTAGAAAAATAAACAATTATGTATATTGCAAATGAATTTCTACAAATATGTATTAGAATTTATTTTGTAGCCCAATTTTAATGCATATTTATTCAATCTGTTATTAATGATATTCATTTTTCAGTAATGTTTCTTTAACTGTAAACCATAATGCGGATTATATGCTTTGTCTTAGAGTTAGACTATCATGTAAATCCAGTCATTATAGTTTATTAAACAATGGTTGAATCATGTTTTAGCATGATGTTTCAACAATACTTGTCACTTTGGTTAAAGACAGAATTATAGAATTGGAAAGAATCATAAGGATCATCTATTCCAAACTATATGAAATATAAAGAAAACTAATTAAACCAGTCTTGAGAGGTGTCTAACCAGATGGAGAATCCACAACTTCTATCAGTATTCTGTTCCATTATTATATCATATTGATAGGTTTTTTTTACTATGTTTGAAATCTAAGAATAGGTAGTCCTTGAGTTATGGCAGTAATAGGTACTAGAATTTCTGTTCCTAAGTGATATGGCCATAAATAATCCCGGCAGTTCCCATTATGGCTGTTAACCAAACCCATTGGTCATTAGGTGAAGACCAACCCTGATTCAAGCAATTCTCAGTTTGGTCTTCCCAGCCCTAATCCTTGGTGAGTTCAAGGTCTGCCTTCTCTATCTCCTTTCCAAATACTCTCATTTGCCTATCTCTCCCTCCATCTCTGTCCTTTTGGCTGTTCTGCACAGTAGAGAGGTGGTAGCGCTGGTGCTTCAGCAGGCTCGGCTAGCTGCCATTGTCCCCCAGTCCTCTCTTTCACTCCCAATACTACCAAGGAACGCTACCTCATGTTCTGTGTCATAACTAGCCACCCTAGTATCACAATGCAAAATCCCAGTTGCCCCTACGACCTATGTTCCATAGGTCTTGCTATTCCTGCTGAACTTTGCTGTCTTATACCTCAGCTTGACATGCTGACTCTATATGAGGCAGCCGCTGGCCATGCCAAGCCTTCTTCCTGAGGCTGCATGTGCCATTCTCCAAATAGCATGAGGAGAACTAATGGGCAGAGCTCTCAAAAGAGAGCTAAGGACAGGTTTGCTGTTAGCGCTTTTCAGCAAAATTTATTTGAAGCAGTATCTAAGGACCTCCAAGGAAGAAATTAATTTCAAATTAATATGTTAGTGCCAAGCATATAAACATATACCATATAAACAAAAACTCTTTTTCCTAAAGTCTTTATTCCTACAGTCTCTTTTAGGAAAAAGACATTGCAGGAATAAAGTGTATTCCCTTTGAAGAGAAAACAAGATAGACAAGGAGCAATGTTGAACAATACTAGCCTTCTCCAAAATAAAGAGGCCTGCTATTTCACTCCAAGATATTTGTATAACATGTCTGCTGTATTGGAGTACCTTTAATTGTCATACATACATCCTATAGTATTGTAAGAATATTTTTAACTTTAATTACAAACTGCTCCTCTACATAAAAGGAAGCCAAAACAACAACAACCCCCCCAACTCTCATTCTCAATTGGGAAACAGCAAAAAGAACATGTCTGCATTTTACAAAGCTGGAATTGCAGGATCTGCTAATATTGGGGGTTAATAACATGAGACATGACAATCTGAATATTGAGTTAATATACAGACTGAAAAAGAGGGTTAAACAAGAGGTCTTAAAAGAGTGAAAAAAGATCAACCAAGATGGTAAGGGAATTGAAGGTTAAATCCTATGAAGTTTTGTTAAAAGAACTGGGTATAATTAGCCTACTAAAGAATTTTTTTATGCAATTTCTGTTCCTATTTGATTCCATATATAAGTGCATCACAGCCAGTTCACTGCATTCTTTCCTGCAAAGTTGAAATGGCCCTGCATGTACACATACATGAAGCAACGAGGTATTAGGAGTATTAGTCTGGGAAAATATTTGTCTGCTTGAAAAGTTTGAAAGGGGTGCTTCATTCATGCATGAAATAAAGTTTAAAATATTTTGCATACTGAAAGCAAAACCTGGATATTTAAGGAATGAATACTTACTTTGCAAAGTATGCAACACAGACACCCCCTTGTTTAAGACTTGGAAAAATTACAGGCAAAGCATTCTGAGGGCAAAGCATGTCCAGAACCACCTATCAAAAGAGAAAGAAAAACATTAATATTAAAGTAAAACACAACAGGGATTGATTTTAATGAGTATTTGTATTAGAAGTACTTATTGTACTATAAGACTTGTGACAGTGTCTGTTTTTAGCATAACATATATCAATGTTTTAGCAGCACACACAAACCATAATGTCAGACTGGCTGGGTAATGGGTTAATGATAAAAATAAGGGTGTTTGCTTATAGTGCTAATAGAATTATCTGTTTTAAGTCCCCAAGCCACTTTGAACAGAAAATTCTGACTTTAAGAAAAGAAATACACTACTTACAGCATCAAGTGTTACAGATTTCAAATCCTCAGCTGCAGTCAAAATATCTTGATTAATGAAATCTACATTATCTGGCCACTCTTTATCATGTCCTATCTTCCATGCATTACGCCACTGGCAAAAATTCTCCTCTGCCAATTTGTGATGTTGTTTTATGATTTCATAACTTATAACATGACCTTGTGACCCAACTGAAAATAGAATACAATCAAGTTGACTTATTTTTATATTTTATATAAACAATTACATAAAAGAAAATACTTAAATAGCCTCCTGCAAGGAAAGATCTGCCCCCACTCTTCTTCCTGTTTGACTTATATTCTCTCCCATACCTATCTTTCCTAATTTTAGCTGTCCTATCATTCACCTTTCACTAGCTACTAGTCAGGTGACCCTTAGTTGATTTAAAGGGTCCTCGTGGCGATATATAGTAAAATAACCAATCTGCATAATATCTGCAGGATGGCAAGTTTGTGCAGGGATGTTGGCAGTAGGTGACTACCCTTGAAATAGTCATTCACTTTACTTCAGCCCTTAAAGAGCTGCTGTATTTCACCAAGCTGTAGCACTGGTAAGAAACAACAACAGCAAATAAACAATAGAAAAATGTGTGGGAAAAAAAGTTTAGAAAAATATGGCAAATCTTAGAAAAATCCTATAAATAGAATATAATTGCACGACAGTATTATCTGAAAAGCATCTTCTCATATTTCATCTCAAATACTGCATTCAGTTTTGGTCACCATGGTGTTGAAACTCTAGAAAGAGTAGAGAAGAGCAACAAAGATGATTGGGGATTGGAGGCTAAACATGAAGAACTGTTGCAAGAACTGGGTATGTCTAGTCTAATGAAAAGAAGGACTAGGGGAATAATAGAAGTGTTCCAATATCTCAGGGCTGCCACAAAGAAGAGGGAGTCAAGATATTCTCCAAAGCACCTGAGGGCAGGATAAGAAGCAATGGGTGGAAACTAATCAAGACTAAGGAGAAATTTCCTGACAGTTGGAACAATTAATCGGTGGAACAACTTGTCTCCAAAAGTTGTGAATTCCAACACTGGAAGTTTTTAAAAAGGTGTTGAATAAT